CTTTTATTAAGTCTTCATGAGCATGCCTTTTGTATTTTCATAAATGTTCTTTATAAAATTTGAATAGTTGAATGGTTGGTGAAGGAAGTGTTGTTCTTAGAGATGTGGTCTGCTGGGAACCGTCTCCTGCTTGTTCCCCAAATGGCTCACAAATCCTCTCTTCATCAATGCTTTATGGAATTTTGCCACGATCTGTTGTTTCAGAAATCTATTGGCTTCCTAATTTTCAGAAAAATCAGTTCAAGATTTGCCTGACTGGTTTTCTGGAGTCTCACTTAAAATATCTGCTTGAGGTTCTTCTTCTATATATGCAAATCCTTTCATGCCTTAAGAATGACTTGGGCCTGAAAACAGAATTCGTAGTGACTTAGTGGTACCTTAGTACCTTTGTATCTGAGAGAAAATTATAGGAATTCTATAAAAACAATGTTTCTATTTTCTACCTTTCCCTCTCATACTGCCATTTCCCATTTTACTCGAGCCACTTCCAGTTTTATGCCACTTTCTCTAGTTCTTCTTGGTTATGTGAGCATTCTACCACCCCTTCTACATATACTCATTAAATCTTATAACTGGCGGGGAGTTTCTCCAGTCCACGGAGGTCAGTCCTAGTAAGAGAAAACCACATTTTTTTTTTTAAACAGGAAACCTGGGTTTGAATCTTGGTTACCATTTCCTAGCTTTGAGACCTGCATCAAGACATTTGAGCTCCCTAACTCGCAGTTCTCTAGTCCAAACCATGAGGGCTTTAATAAGTTCCCCATTCTGTCGAGTAACAAAAAGCACTGTGTTAAGTGACTCGTCCCTAAGTGGCTTTGCTGACCAAGCAGCCCAGTGCCATGATACCTAGTTCTTTGTTCTTTTCATCCCTGTTTGTGATGTCTCTGGTGCTAGGTCCATCAGGGCACTAAAGAGTCACACAGGTGTCTTTGTCTGCCCGCCTCTTTTCCTCCTTGCAGGGATTTGTTTTTGCCATGTGCATATATTCAGAATTAAGTGTTTTTAACATAGTATTAAATTATATTCCATTTAAAGCCTCTGGCCTTTGTATGGTATGTCTTTGCTTCCCTAACGTTGAGGGTACATTTCCACTTATTTTCTCACTTGAAAATCACTGGTTATTTCTTCAGCTTCTTAATTTATATAATTATAACATTATATTTTATTTCTCTTTTCAGTTACTATTAGGTCTTTTGCATTCCCTTAATTTTGATTGATGGCAATGAAGTTTATTTTCTCCTTATTCTAGTTCTTTCTTTGTTTGACTATAGCAAAGCATTTCTTCTTGGCCTTATCTAAACTGTTTGATTAGCTGCTAATGTGCAAAATCATTAATGGGGGATTCAAACTGCTAAACTAAAGAACTGATGAATTCTGGCCCATAGGCCACAGTTCAGTCTTTTCGGCTGAGTGCTTTTTCAGAGAAGCAAGCAAAAATCAGCAGTGCTCCTGGCACTGTGTGAAATGTGCAGGGTATTATTATATCCTGTAAAAAGTTAAATGTGGTTGAAATAAAGACCTCTCTGCAGCATATAATGTGGGGTAGCTGCTTTAGAACACTAAATATGCAGTTTGCTATGGCAACAGTGTACCCAGCTCTATAATCTGACACCCATTTGTGAACTATTCAAGGGTTACCTTTCTTTGAATTACAAGATAGTTTATAAACTACTTTATTTGGTAGGGGTGTGTGTGTGAGTGTGTGTGTGTGTGTGTGTGTGTGTGACAGAGAGATTGATTTTGACTTTTCCTTTTAAGAAACAGCATCAATTTATTTTATTACTTGCCATGCATAACTAAAAGGGGCCAACTGTTAGTTGCTTGAAGCTCCAGCCATCTCAAATGAAAGAGTAGGACTGGCCAACCAATCAGTTGAGTGATTGAATGTCCCTTTATGCTACCAGTTTAAACAGCTGTCTGTTAAAGGGTAACTATCACAAAAGGTTTTCAGTGTAACCATCAGGCCTCTTGTGGTTAATTCCTGTAAAGCTATAATTTTCCTAAGTATTCTAGAATTTTATTTTTTGTTACTTATGTTACTAACATAAATTGATGTCTTTAAATGATGCTAAGATAAGTAGCATTCAGTTTTGGTTTTTGTTATGTTTACTTTGTGTTATTTTCTTTCCCTCTGTTTTGAGGGATGGTTAAATTAACAGAGTCTCAGATCAGAAAATTCAAGAACTTGCCTAATCAGTGAGATCCTTAATGGATACAGGGGAATTGTGGTAATACTATGAATAATAACCATAAAGCTGCATACCATAGGAAAAGTGGCTTGTCTTAAGCATCGCATGAAATGCCCTCTGTAAACACTAATGGCATGAAGATCATTTGTGGTAGCAAAAAAAAAAACAAACCTGAAAAACAAACCAAACTATTTGTTGTTACATTGTAATAAGATACTGAGAAAGACATTTTCATAAGTTGAGAGATCTCATATTTTCTGTGTGTTTAGTTTTCTATGATACAAATCTGATTTATTTTCTCTGTAGCTTGTTTAGTTTCGGTACTTATTTTTCTGTTGGCTCCTTCATATGCTGTAATACTTCACAGTTTACTATAACAATAGCAAAAAGTGGATAATAAAATAGAAACAGTCACTAACTAATATGATCCTCATATTAGTTATTTTTACTATTTATTACCACCACTAGAAAGTTGACATTTGTAGATTGTAAGTGTAGATGCCCACACACAAATTGCATTTGTGACAGCAAAGCATCAACTACTTGATACATTTTTTCCTACATTTGTGGGCCATACACAACAGTAACATTGATAAAGGATGTTTTTTACTTACCTACTTATCAGCTACAACATTTTCATTTGATCTGACTGGAATAAGGACTGTGGGTCTGGGTTATTTATGTTTCTTCCTTAACATAGCTTGTTTTCTTGGAAGCCAAGTCCAACATTTCAAGTCCTTGACCCTGAGCTTTCATGGTGGCTGCCAGTGAATAATTTAAGAAAGAGTTTAGGTTTTGAAATATTTCAGTGCCTGGAGAAATAAGCTGGAGCTATAAAAACATGCTTTATGTTATAAAAGTTCACTGTGTGTTCCTGAGAGTGGGTGGGAGGCTCTCCTTTCTACTGTCTCCCCGTCGATAAGTTGTAGAAATGTAATTTCCTAAAAGTGTAGGACCAGACATTTAGGACTGATGGCGAATATTTAAGTGAATGACAAGGCAGACCAAAGTGGCAATTATCTTCTAGAACTACTGTAACAGATTTCTTGGGGAAATCATGAACAAGTAAATATGTCAGGCTTCCTGTATGGTTTGTCATTTTGCAAATAAGAGGCAATGTGAAATTAGGTATGCTGAAGTCTAATATGCCCCTGTTTTATCAGGATATACAATTGGACTATTATTAGATGTGAACGAATGGTGGGTCAGGACACTGTCTACATATGAAATAGATACTGCTGTGTGGGTTTCACTATACATAATAGCATATGTAAATATTATTATTTCAGTTTTAGGTTGACAAAGCTGAATCAATATTTCGTGCACAATTGAATGCATCATTAATAAGAACTACCTCAGGGACTTATTGTTATCTTTCAGGAAATACATAACCAAAGGCTGTAACAGTCAAGAAGCTCAAATAATTTTCTGATGTATATGTTTAATGGCAAGAAAATATATTTTGAAATTTTTGTTCTCCTACTGGGACTCTACATAAGTTCCATAAAAATATCAGCCAGCTAATCAATAGGTATATGACAGATCTGAGCAGTCTGTTGCCTTTCCAAATTGCAGATGTATCTCCATAAATGTTTAATGTTATTCAGATTCTTTAGCTGATATCGTTGAACAAAATATTAATTTTTTTTACAGCCTTGTCTGATTCTATAAAGGAAATTTTATTTTACAGATATATTCATTGATCATCTATTGACTTTCATCTGGCAAAATATACATATATTTTTATACACACACACACACACATACGCACACATGCGCACGCACACACACCTTAACTATGTACTGATTCAGTTCTTCGGTTTTGAAAATATAGGTTGGTCTCTTAGTAATTCGCATAGTTATTCACCTTTCTGTTACATAAGCTTATATGAGAAGAGTTTTTCTTTGTCAGTTATCCCAAATAATTTCCCAAACAGGAATTGTGATAAAGTACAATGTCTTTGATAATTGTCAATTTAAGGAAAGATGTTACTAACAATTCAGATAAAAATATAAGTGGAAATATATATTTTATAGAGGTATATAAATGTATGTTCATAATATAATTTAATAACCTGGATGGTTCAGAGTTAAAAAGCAGAAATTGTGACACTCATTTTAGTTTTCGTATTAATTATTACATAGTTATTCTTTTGGTACTTATAGAAAAACTGTTGTATGGAAAACATTTTATGTCTCTAAGTATACTTTTCTTTCAAGAGTCAATTATAGTTTATATTTTTGAAAAATTTTGGACAGTCTGTTCTCTATCCTTCTAATATGATTTGCGTGTTGTACCTATGGCAAGTACAAAAGCAAACATGGTTTTGATCTTCCTGCTTTCATTTTCATTTTCCTTATCTTTACAGAGAAAGTTAAAATAAGTTATGCTTTCTTTTGTAGTTTGAAAAAAAAAAACCACTGAATGAAAATAGCTTGAGGACCTTTTTAAAAAATTGATTAGTTAAGAGTTCTAGGTAGGGTTTCTGCAACTCTCCTGTGAGTGTGAATCACCTGGGGATCTTGTGCGACTGCAGATTAGATACAGATTCCGCTGGACCTGAAACTTTGCATCTCCAGGCACTTCCCAGGCTGCCGCTCCACAAGCACTCTGAGCAGCAGAGTTCTGCAGGCTAATGATGTTATGTCATGCAAGACACTGAACCGTCAGGGACAAAGAGTCAAGTCAAATACACTACATCTGAGCTCTTCTCTTGATTCTGTATTTAGAATCCCAAGTAAATGGCCTGCATTTCTCATGTTCGTTGACTTGTTTATTTTTCATTCTAATGCATTTTTTTTCCCTTTTAGCTCTTTTGACAGCAAGTTTGTTTACCAGCAAAGAGGACTTGGGCCAATTGAGGAAGACACTATTCTTGTCATAGATCCAAATAATGCTACAATACTGCAGTCCAGTGGGAAAAGCCTGTGAGTTAAATGACGTATGTTGTTATGAAGGCTCGAACTACATAGAGTATTGAGTATAAAATGTATCATCGGGTCTACTCTTGGAAAGGGTGTGTTGTTCAGCAGTAGTGAGAAAGCATAGCTTAGGAAAGCAGGAGACTAATTGGGCCCTCCTATCTTTCATTTTCTAAATAGATGGTTCTAAACTGTGACTAAATATTAGAATCACCTGGAAGCTTCAAAAAAATTAGATTCAGATTTAGTCTGTGATGAGGCCCAGGCATCCAAATAGGACTTTTAAAGCTCACTCTGTTATTCTCATAGGTAGTCAAGCTTGAGAGAGCCATGGATACACATAGCTAATGAAGTGAGTAGTGGTCAGCTAGATCTGAAGATTAAAGAAAATTCTTCAGCAGAAAAGTTGTAAAACCAAACTCATCAAGTAATCACTGCTAAGAAAAAAGCCTTCTCCCCATCTCAAAATGAAGACTGAACAAATGTCATTTTTTAGCTTTCCTTAGCATGCATAGGTAATTTGGCTTTGAAAGCCACTGATTATTTGATCTTATTCCTAGATGGCGCTTGGCAGCCAAAAAGAAAGTTGGCTGACATTCATGGTCATTGAAAGAAAGGGGCACCTGTTTACAAAATGTCCTCAACCGTTTGAACCTGGCAGCTTCAGGGACTGCATTCCATCTGCTTAGGCACAGGGAAAGCCAGCTTCTTAGAAAGGCAGCGAGCCATCCGCTTCCAATGCAGCTGCTTATGGAGATGATAATAATTAGATTTTTTATAGGATTCTAAGATGGTGAGTCAGGGGCCAAATTCTAATACCGGCTCCACCACTCAGTGTGTTTGAACCTGTGTCTTCAGTGCTCTCCCACTAATCATAAGCATTCTCATTCCAGAAAGAAATTAAAGAGGAAGGCAGAGCAACTGCTGTTAAATCAAGGTGACCAACAGTGGGGAGTCTGTGTCAAAAGCAAATCCTAGCCTTCCCATTGGGTCACCAAAACAGAGATCTAGTTCAGTTAATTAGTCAAGATCAGGGTGTCACAGTCTTGGCTCGTGAAAAAAATAAAAGAAATCTGTCGTGCCAGCATCATGCTAAGGCTAGAAGCTGACAAACATAGCTTGCCGATTGTCAGATGTTCTTTGATCACAACTCTCTTAAGATATTGTCCATGTGTTTCTTGATTTTGTCCAGGGTCATTAAGCCTTTGAGCCTCTGTCTGCAATCGTTTATAATTCTCTTCCGCAGATCACCCCAATAGATTCGTTAAATAGATTAACCTTCTCTAATGATTATCCAGCACACCACTTCCCCCTTTGCTTAGATAAGCATAGCCCCTGTCTGCTGAAAGGTCCTTTCTTTGGGTATAACTGTCTTTCGTTGGCTTTCTTAAAGCATTTGAGTCATATATTTGATATTTTGAGTTAATACAGAATTATATTACCTAGCAGTACATGTAAACAATTCAAGCTATGGAAATCCATTTGGATTGCTCTAAACAAACTTGTTGATACATATTTCTAAGGTGTTAATATTTATGATCTCAGAACTTATTTTTATTTATTTATTTTTTTTTTAAAGATTTTTATTGGGAAATTGGGGGATGGGAACAGCTCTGGGGAATTGGGGGAAGGGGAACAGACATGTTGCTATGGTTTTGTTCTTCAGTCTAGTTGTGGAGGACGTTGCTTCACTGGCCCAAGCTGGCACCATCATTGCGCTCTTCCCTGGCGAGGCAGATCAGTCGCCAGCTTCTGGACGGCCGCTCACTGCGGCTGCTGGCCGCTCATGCTGGCTGCTGGCTACACACGGTAGCCCATGGCAACCCACTGCAGCAGGGGTTGCAGCCTACACCATCACCGGTGACTCATGGTAGCCCAGCTCCAGGTTGAGCTGTTGTTCATCATCTTAGCTGTGGAGGGCAGTGTCACTGGCCCTCATATGTGGGATCCGAACTGGGGTTCTCTGGCGTCCCAAGCCAGCTCTTAACCAATGCACCACTCGGCCGGCCCATTAGAACTTATTTTTAAATTGATGGCATTTGTGTTTAATATACCATACTTTATAATACATATTTGTAATTTATATGTAGTCTACATTTATAGGTTTTTAAATGATTAAATACAGATTAGGATTTGACACAAGGAGGACTCTATTACAACAGGTATTTTCATTTAACAGTTCATTTTGGTCTTTTCTATAGTAATGCAGGTATATAAATTTATCAATTTATATTGCCATTACAGGTTAATTAGCAAAAAAAAAAAAAAGTCTTCTCATGTATGCTTGAGGAATCAATGTATATTGAAAACAATTATTTTTATTTTGCAGGTTTTACTTGCCACATGGCTTGAGTGTAGATAAAGATGGAAATTTCTGGGTCACAGACGTGGCTCTGCATCAGGTAATCTTCCATTTGGCAGTTATTCAAATAGAAGTTAATGAAGTTATACTTTCCAAATGCTCGGGCATTAATCTGGGTGTTTTTTCTGTGACCCCAATAGGTTTATACCAAGAAAAAAGAACAGCCACATCTGAAATTTTTATCTTAGAAATTAGTGCTAGGAAAAGCTAATATGTAAATAATCATGTCACCTTTCTTTGTTCAACTGGCAGGAATGTAGGGCCAACCTCCTCCTTGGCTTTGCACATTTGCTTTTCTTTCCTCTGTCCCCAGGTCTTAGTTTTATTTCATCACTTGTGTTTTATGTTTTCTTTCCTCAGCTACCTTAATCTTCAACACATTGAGACCCTACATACATATTTATGTAAAAACATCAAATTTTTATCCTTTTTAAAAGAAGTTATATTTCAATCACAAAATAGTCATAAAGTCTTTCCCTCAAAAAATAAACTTACGTTTGATGCCTGTTTTATGAGTAGATGGCAAAGAACTAGGGACACTAGAAAAAAAAAGAAGCTGGAACTCAAGAGGTAGCTACAAGGATCTTCAAACATAATCTTAGTAAATACTTATTGCTCAGGTCTTCTCTGGAGAGCATTGTACTGTTAGCTAAGGAAAGGTGACAAGGAAGGACAGGTGTGGGTGGAACAGGACATCCAGTTAGCCTCCATTCACCACTAATTACCTGGATGACCTTGAGCAGATCACTTCATCTCTGTAGCCCTCATTAATCAAATGAAGGAACCAGACCAGACGATTTCTAGAGTCCCTTCCAGTTCTAAAATGTATCTTCTTTTAAGTAAGCCTCTAGGAGCTTACACTTTAATTTTCTATGCAAGTGCTCTCAGCCATATATAGGTGTGTGTCAATAATAATCATGCAAAGTGGGTAAGGCTTTTGTTCCTTTTTAAAAAGGTGTTCAAACTGGATCCCAACAGTAAAAAAGGCCCTCTGTTAATCCTGGGAAGGAGCATGCAACCAGGCAGTGACCAGAATCACTTCTGTCAACCCACCGATGTGGCTGTGGACCCAGACACTGGAAACATCTTTGTATCAGATGGCTACTGCAACAGTAGGATTATGCAGTTTTCACCAAGTGGAAATTTCATCACACAGTGGGGAGAAGGTAGTCCGTAAGACTCTTGATCTCTAAGTGTAATTTTTAGCCAATATCACTAGGAATAGGAGATTAGCTGCCCTTCACATCCTTTAAGATGTAATTGGGGAAAACAGGTTCTCTATATGCATCCAGTTGGGTTGTGC